GTCGCATTGAGAGTGAGGGTATGACTAGGTATCTCTCTGGTACGCCAAACTTATTGTTGGGCTTCTCGTGTTGCCTCTTGAAGGCACGCCACGCCCAGCAAGCAAGGGGGAGTGCCTGGTGGGAACTGGCCGTGCCAAAAAGTTCCGACCCCAGGCGCCTGACGTCGTTTGTTCGAGTGTGACTGAAGCTTCAACTCGCACATATAGCAGCTAGGCAGTGAACGGTTTGAATTTCATCCTGCCGCGTTCTTTCTTTTGTAGGTGACGGGGACACATGTCAAATTCTCTGAAAGAAAATGCATAATAAACAAGCAAAAAAAGCGAGACACCGATATCCTGCTACCATTGCATAACTATGTGGTCTTGTCGATTTGGAAGGGCAAATAGGTGGACAATTTGTGCGTTGTGAAGCGTCGCTAAGAATGTAGGGTGCAATTTATTGAACTTTTGGCTTTGTGGGTGTGAAAAACAGTTCAGGGTTTGGCTTTAGACAGGTTAAAGCAGAGCTGTGGGTAGGACCTCCTGGACTACAGGCAAAACAGGGCTTTTGAGTCTTTTTCTTGGCAGGAAAGCCCTCTAGTAGGTCCAGTTCTCATTATGCAGAACAGAACACATCGAATTTTCTTGTTTTTGGGCTTCAGAAGGATTTTCTTGCTCATCGAGTTTCGGTTCAGAACGGTGGACCACCACTGGAGCTGCTGGGGCCCTATCCTATCTTCTTCTGGGCCAGGGGAACGAAAAGTCCATTTAACTTTTCTTTGTCTTTCCAACAAAAATCTCTATGAGAAACTTATTAAGCATATTTGTAGTGTATAAATGGGTCTGAAGCAAACGAGTGCGGAAAGCAATGGAAGGTGTCTTTAGAAACGAATATGAAGGACTTTTTCGTTTCCCTTAGCCTGGGAGAGAGGTGCTAGGATGCGGTCCCTGATTTCACTGTTTCCTTGATCAGGCTCCTATTCCTGCTCTTTCGCAGACGCCTAGCCGTTAGAACGATCTGTTCAAGAAGATCTGTTATTTTTTCTATGAACCTTGTTCAGACAAAAGGACATGGTGCATCGGGCAGCTTCAAAATGAGCGCCCCGGCAGCGAAGAAAGCCGGTCCATCCATGGCAAAGAAATCTTCGGTTGCAAAGCCTTCATCGTCCAAAGCAAAAGCGATAATAAAGAAGAAAGCTGCGCCCGCGAAGGTCATGAAACCGAAAGTGGCGAAACCGAAAGTGGCAAGAAAAGTTGTGAAGAAGCCGAAGGTAAGAGTTCTTGCTGCGCGAGATTTCTGAGGTGAAAAAAGCGTTTTTCAGGTCAAGAAAACGATTAAGAAGAAGGCCGCCAAGAAAGTCGCTCCTGTCGGTAAGCTACGTGTGCAGAAGAAACGCGTCGCTGCGAAGACTAAAGCTCCTCGAGCAAAGAAAGTTTAGATGGTCCTTTTGTTATTGTTCCTGTAAATAACCCATAACCCATGTTCAAATGTCCAACATCGCTACTCGAAGAGTCCGTGTAAAGGTTTTCTCATTTATCTCTTGTTTGCCGCAAATCGTCTATCGCTTCGTCTACCAACAGGAAATCTGATCGATAATCTAAGATATTTCTAGTAGATATAACGAAAAATTCGTGGACCAAATAAGCCATTTTGTCAGTCAATGATTCCTGGTTAACTACAAGTCCAACAACTTGTGCAAGCAATCCCTTACAAATTTCGAAAATCAAAAGTACAAGGCGAGTCCAGCGACCATGAACCCGCGGTCGCGTTGCGGGGCTCGTGACAACTTGTCGCACATCTAGGACAGCACTATTCGAGTATTCTGCAAATTTATTATTTCGTTTCATGATTGTTTTATCCAAATGATTGTCATGAACGCATTGAACGGTTGTTGGGATAGGGTCACCATATGAGATCAACGATGACACGAAGGGTGGGGCAGGTATATCGGGGCGAGCACCTGATATATCTGAAAACTGTTCGATGCGTCGAGCAGCAGTTTATGCGTGTAGCCCGTTGAAGAACCGGAACGGTGCCTACTCAGCGCTCAAAAATCTCCCAATTTTGAAAAAAAAAACAGCGGAAAGCGATTGCTTCCCTCCGATCGGATTCCCCCGGGCTTCACCATTCCATCCCATTTCCTCCGGGCAATACCTCATCGGGCGAGCTGTCGCTCTCGGACGTACTTTCAATTACTTTCCCCCCATAGAACCAAAAGCGACAAGGTCCCCTGCGCAGCGGGGTATCCTCCGGCTTTACACAAAATTATTTTGTTTCCGTTTTTTGTCGCTCGTTTTCTGTTTATCTCTTGAAGCGCAATATATTGAAAACCGTATCATCAGGTTACAGTTTGTGAAAGCGGTGTATTCAGGTCGATTCTCGTCCAAAGTCATTGTATTTTCTACTGCTCCCTACTGGGTAGATGTTGATTTTGATGCCAAGCATTAAAAATCCAAAAAAAAAATACGAGGCTATCTCACGATTGTTCCCCTATACTAAGTTTGGCCTCAGGGAATCTAAACCCGGCACAGTTCCATCTAACAAGTCGTGTTATCAAAACGGCACCCCAGTCCCCAATTACGCTGTGTGACAATTTTTCTTGTATACGCAATCGTTTTCTTGTCCTATTACATACAAATGTGGAAATATTGCTTTTTTTTTCTGTGCATTTTCTCTTTTTTGTTGTTGATATGTACAATATTTGCATTGTTGACAGTCCCAAGTGTGCCCATTTGTGCAGGTGGCGCCACGTCGCGGTCAGAGATTCTCAGCCAGACAAACCAATGCGGCCAGACGGCTTAGAGGGGATGAGCGACGCACTTCTGCAGAATGTGCACGATTGGGTTGTCCATGTGTGTACCAACACGTCGCTAGAGATTGTCTAGAATTTGGCTGACCTCAAGTTGGGTTGGATTATTTTGGGATTCGAAGAATCGCTTCGGCGGTGAGATCAGCTTGTGAGTTCCATCAGTGAGCAGTTTTCCCTTTTTTGTACATCCTTGTTCGCATCTATTTGAAGCGCGTCCCCTCACGAAATTCTACGAAATTTGTTCACTCCAACTCTTCCTCTACCCGTCCCTTGTGTCCTCCCATGGACCCTTATTTGTCCTTTTTTTACTTCTTTTTTCCCGTGAATACACACGAATCTCGCTTGACCAATCGATTTATTAAGCAATTATACGTTGTGCAACTATATAATGGTATCAGAGTGGGACGCCAGAAGACGACGTGGGACGAGGGCGATGACGGTCAGAACACGTCCACGACGCCGGATTCCCGCAGTTCTCGGAGAATCTCCTTGGCAACCACTCGATGTCCAGCTTCGTTAGGATGGAACGCGCCCATGGCATTGCCCTGCAGCGCGATCGACTCCTGCCTCGATCTGAAATAGAGGATTTTTAATGTTTTTAGGATGTGTTCAGTGCCAGCGGCTAAGGCGAATGGGCGATCAAGGCGAAAGAAAGGGATAGGTATCGACTTGGGCGAGTAGGCGACCGCCACTAGTATATCTAATTGATTCCTTTTCGCCGATTCTCCCATTTTGCGAATCTCCCATTCGACTGCTCGCCTGGTCGGCATAAATCTTTTTCTTTTAATCGCCTATTCTCTGAGATGCTGTGCACAACGCCTCAACGCCCAAAAATGTGCAATAGGTACGATTTTATAGATAATCGAGTTTGCCAGAAAAAATACTTGAGGGCGGCAGTGGAGTGGTGTAGTGGCAAGTGGCGCGCTTACCACGCGAGCGGTCCGGGGATCAAATCCTGGGTCGTGAGTCGCCCGGGCCAACCAAGCCTTCCATCCCTCCGGGGTCGGTTAATTGGTACCAGACTTGTCTGGGAGGATAAAAACACTGACTTGTACATCGGCTGGCCCCCGCAAGTCATTGTATAGGCCACATCGCATTCAAACGCCACTACGAATGTACAAATGGAAGTAGAATGCGTGCCGCATCCCAAAAAGGGATTGATCAACGGCAAATGCTTTATCCTTTTATTTACTGGAAAACTCACTCAGATGGAATCGTGAGCAAACTATGGCAACAATCCTTGCTAAGTAGCTCATCCTACATTATCATCCCAAGCTTTCAGTGGGACCAAGGAGACGTAATGCCTAATGGGACCTAATATAAGAACTGGGGCCTAATGAAGCTCGAGTCGGAGGGAATATGGACTTCACCGTGACAGAAATGTCCTCTGCCCCCACCCACTTATTACGCTGTGAGAATTTTGGAGAGCTGCCTCAGATGATCAAGGAAATCAGACGTTGAATTGCTAGAAGCATAGTCTCGATTAAAGGGCTTTTGTATCTGTGCTCAGGCCGGATTTCGCGCTCATACTCAGCAGCGCGCTCCAGTGCAACATAGATTACGGTGGAACCAATGCACCCATATTGATAGATCGTTCTTGTAAGTTACTACAGGCCGCTGAAACGCACATGTCCTATAGCCTGAGCTATCCTCATGCAAATTCTGTAGTTTAGTTTTCACAACTAGACCGTGCGGTAAAACAGAAGAACATGTTTTATTGATAGCGGTTGCACACTGCCAAAATCGAGTTTTTTCACGGGAGGGGGTACTTCTGGTTAGCTTGGGGCACGGTCAAAAATCAATTAAGAACAGAAAAAATATAAAACAAAATAATTGTTACAGCTTTTCGTTGGGCGCTCCTGGAACGCCTGGAGCACGGTCAAGAGAAAGTCGCTGGAATGCGAAGCGCTGGGCAGGGGCGTTTATTAAAGGGAAAGAGGGGTCCAATGAGGGCTTAATGAGTTCAAGAGCATGACTTGTAAATAACGAAAATGAATTCTCAAATGAAGAAACGTCTCCTTTAAAGTTCAAGCAGGAAACGCATTTGTGGCGCCATCATGCTGAGGCTAAACTCCTCCCAGTCATCAAGTTGCTCTATGTGAGCCAGCAAATCTCCTTCAAAGCAACAACCTCAGATGAAGCCGAGGGAGGAGGGAATGGTTAGAAGTACCTATTCTGTGGGTGGGATAGAGTAGCCCACGAGTATCACAGAGGTGCCGTTGTAGCGGCTCGAAAGTGCGCGACAATGGCACTAGGGCCTTGAGTACTGATCTTATGGCGGCTAACGTGAAGTTACGGACGGGATACCTCGAGTTAACGACGTACCGGCTAATTCAAATACGCGTGGGTTAGTGGAGCCATGGAGCATGCAAGTTCAGACAACTCGTCCGGCCCCACCTCTTCCTTATTCAAGGAGCAATAGAGGGAATACTTGTTAATGGTTCTATTGGCAGTTTGCTATAGTTCTTTTTTCGTTTTCACACACTTTGGCATCTACCGTCGACTGTTCTTATCTCACCAACTTGATCTGGGGTTGTTGTTTTAACATTCCGCAATACCGATGGAAGGTTCATTAAACCGGCTACGGATTTTAGTGGGAGTACATGGTCTGAGTGAGAAAACTTACTGCACCAATTCACACTCTTTTCTACCCGTCTCTATCAGAAATCCAAAAGTAGGCGGTAGCTTCAAAATACTGGCTAGAAACCACGTGTAAGGTATCCTTTGAAAAGTTTTTGCAGGAGTTGATCTTCGTTCGCTTCTGAACCTTTTCCAGGCCATTAAGTGGGTTTTGTACCCTTTTCAGCTACCAGATAAATATTCGCTATCGAATCTAAACACTTTTGGGTCTGGATCGTTAATAAATTGAAAAAAAACTCTGAGAATACCAACCTGATGAAACTCTGTGATGAACAGATTCCTTTATGGGCGAACAGCGCGGGTATGGCAGTTGCAACGTGCCAGCCATATTGAGCACCCTTCTTCAGAAGCAACGTGTTCAATCGACGCAGAATTCGTCGCTCGGCGAACGTCATGCTTGAGGTCGACATCGAAAATGGCAAACAATCAGTGGAGAAGGGGTGAATCACGCGAATTTCCATTATGTTCCTCATGACGGGCATC